AGAGTTTGCTTGCCATGTTTTCAAGGCTTCTTCTGGCGGCTCTCGCACGGATGTCGTATATACTGATTTTAACAAACCTTTTGACTTAGTTAACCATAACACATTGATCTTCAAACCACATGTCTCTGGCTTTCCTTTCTACTCATTGAAAAGGATAATTTCTTTTTTACGTAGCAGATTATTTTGGATTCTAGATAACTTCCTCACCTCTAAAAATTTTCCGTGACGTCTGGCGTCAGTCAAGGTTGCCACTTGGGATCCCTTCTATTTAATTTATACGTTAATGATCTCCCCTCGGTGATTAAATTCAGCCAGGTCTTAATACACACTGACGATGTTCAACTATTTTCTTCCTTCCCCTTGGAATCCCAATCGTATCAGCTTCAAATTGACTTAAACAGGGTGCTCGTTAAATGATGCTCGTTAAATTTTGCGAAATTAAACCTAAAAAAATGCAAGAAGCTTTTTTTCTTAAGAAGGGAGTCTTTCAATAGTGAGTATTACATTGATTTACATAAATTGGCAAACGTTGATTCGTTCATCGATTTGCGGGTTCTATTCGATCAAAGATCTCGTTTTAATTTGCACATTGAGCTCTCTTTAAGTGAAGCTACGTCCACGCTAGGGTTCATTAAGAGATGTTCCAAAGAGCTTAAGGATCCTTACATTACAAAAAGGGTGCAAATGTGCTTAATTAGACCAATACTTGAGTTGAGTCTGTTATGTGGTCTCCTTCATATGGGTGTTATGTAGAATCAATTGAATTCGTTCAAAAGCGATTCTTGCTATTTGCTCTTGCTTTATTTGCGGTTGGGATCCGCTTGTCGCTCTTCCTCGTTATGAAAATAGGGTGCTTCTACTATCCATACCGTCACTTGAGAAACGTTGGTTTATTTTTGGCGTTTCCTTCTTAATTAAATTAATTAATGGTACTATCGATTGGTCCAAATTACTTGGTAAAATAAGCTTAATGTCCATGCTTCTCTAGGCACTTTATTTTCATTAGGCTGATTAATGTACTATTAAATATAATTACGAGCTGTTTTAACCCCTTCAGAGTTGTTGCAGAAACGTAAATGATATCTATCACCTAATCGCAATATTGAATTCTTTCAAGTCTATCAAAACAACTTTGCTTAATACGCGCAACTTGCCTATTCATATTTAACTTACAATCTTAACACCTCATAATGATTCACAACGGCTGCCAAGCTTTTGCATCTTTCCAATGGTTTAGGGGTTCACTTGCAACTTGGATATGTACCGGTAGTGTTTGATAGCTGTATACATGCTTTTTTTCTTTTTTTTTTTTTCTTTCTTATTTACTTATACATGAATTATTATTTAATTGTTTCTGTTATTATACCCATCGCCGAAGGATGTTGAGACGTTTGCAACGCCAAGAAGAAAGCATAAGGCACCCCAAAAAGTATATATATTCCTGATCAGTATCGAATTCTAAATTGATTTAGGTATGTCCGTCTGTGTAACGTCTGTTGTAAACAACCTCCTGGCCGCAAAAACGAAGGTTCCACCTTAAAATTTAGCAAAAATATTGGAAGTTCTAGCTCACAGGTTGGTGATCAAAATTGGCCAAATCGATTGAAAAACATGTCCGCAGCACTACGTAAACTAAGAACCTCTCTGTTTTTCAAAGGGAATAAGAAATTGGTTTTTTGCTCATTATTTATAAACTATAGCAAATAAATGTACAACAATTTGAACGTATATTCCATGGGCGATGCTGTGCACAAAAATGGAAAAAATTGACCACGCCTACCTACTTCTTTACCTCTTTACTTCTTTTGCCTTTTTTTGCGGATAAACCGTGATGGGTATAAAAGATTCGGTCCTGACCGAATTTAATTTTGTTATTGTGTTTGTTTTCTTTGTTTGCATCTCTTATTTACTTTATACTAATTTTTAACAATAGTGAGTATAAGCTTCACTTCTAAGAGTGAAGTGAATCCGACTGGTAATTTGTTTTAGTTAAGTACCATGTGTAAGTAAATAAATAAACAAGTAAACATTACAATAGAAAAAACAAGGAAGTTACATTCGGCAGGCGCCGAATCTCGCCTACACTCCATTATGCTTTTCGCATTCTACGCTGCGTTCCGTTTACGCTCCACTGCGGGCTTCTGTTCTGACCAATTTAACCCATTTTCAATACCAACCTGAGTGCAGAAACTTTCAATGTTTCTATTAAATTTGAAGTCGATATTTTTATTTCTGCAACTAGAAGAGTGCCAACAATACATAGGTACGGATAGACATGGCTTAATCAACTCAGAATTTCACACTGAACAAGAATATATATACTTTATAGGCTCTCTGAAGCTTGCTTTTGGGTGTTACATACATTATAGAAAAAAACAAAATAAATATACACCCATCTTAGAGTGGTGAGTATAAAAAGAAAAGTTTTGATGCCAACAATTTCGAAATATATTCCAAATGTTTTCATTACTAATGTTGAAACTACGATGTGATTAATTAGCTCACTGCCAAAACGTATTGCATATAAAAGTTTTGAAACAATGCGAACCCGGAAGAAGTCTAATTAAGTCGATATAATTTTATGTATGAAAATAATTGCAATGAAAATCAAAAAAAAAAAGGGCCAAAATCATATAGAATTTTTCTTTCCACTACTATGAATACAAAACTTCATAATTTTATTTCTAAATTATTTTTTCATTTCTTTCTTAATAGGCTAAAAATATTTCCCAAAGCAGGTGTGGTTTATAATCAATTCTTTTATTCATTAACTGACGTTTAGTTGGTTTATTAAGCCAAATAAAGAGAAAGATATAAAATAAAAAAACTTCAAAATATATAAGCACATGCGTAATATGGTAACTGTTACTTTATTATTTAGAGAGAGAAAAAGAGAGAGTAAGAGAGAGAAAGAGAGAGAGAGAGAGAGAGAGACAAGTGTTTAAAGGAAACTTTTTTTTTAAAATCATAATTCATAAATCATTAGACAATTTAGAAAGGCCGACTAATAAAACGAAACAAGCGCACGCTTGCATTGCAAGAGAATAAAAACGACATTAGCTAAATAAAGTAAAGTAGTTAATAGCACCTGAATTTTTTTTTACCTTTTTCTAGGGTAAATGTACGTATGCTTGCCTACATAAAAATTTAATTCCCTTTATGTGCCGCTTATCCTCAATTTCTCGTCATATACTTTCTTTGATAAACTAAGCTTATATATCACAAAGCACAACGCTTTAAGCAAAATCAGTTCAACTTAAATTACTTATGACTGTCAACAGAACACAAAGATATGCCAAAAAATTATCCGAGAACATGACCCTACCTGCAACTTATTTCTAACATTAAAAATACACCTGACTTCCCAAATAACTCAGTAAACGATTTCTTTTTTCTTGTACCCTGCACCACTTATGGTACAGGGTGTACCAAGTTTTGCAGGTTTTGCAGGGTACGTGTACATTTTATTATACTAATCGGTAAAAAATCATATTTCGGATCGATTTAGGCATGTCTGTCCGTCTGTTCGCCTGACAACTGTTTATTTTTAACAATTTTTAAGATATTTAGACGAAATCCAATACAATGGCGTAATTTAACACACGGATCACTCATTATGCAACGGCTTAGTTTGAAGCAATCGTCAAATCAGAAAAATAGCAATTTGAATATTTCCTGACAAAAATCGTTAAATATTAATATTTCAAAGTGCTAAAATCGAATGAGCTGCTCCAACAAGAGCACATCTTTTTATGAGAAAGCGGTCTGTAGTTTTAGTATTTCACACTGAGAAGTTATCATATTTTGACTCAATCAATTTTACCAAATGTGGATCAAGTATAATTGGTGTTCTTACAAAAAGTTAAGCCTTACATAGCAATAAAGTATGATTGCCAGTACTTTATGACGAAAATAAGTGAATTATAATAAGGTATTTTATGACAAGGTTAATTCAGCTAAATTGGCAGAATGTAAGTCCATGTTTTGGGACTTTTCCATATAAGGATTATTATGAAAAATATATTCTTACTCGGAAACAAAATATAATTTTGACTATTTTATTACTAAAATAACGAAAAAATTGTGTTATGCGAAGCGGTGGAGGATATGTAATGATCGGCGCTGCCCGACTATAATATTTTTATTTGCTTCTTTTTTTTAAGTTATTTTTCTTGTTTTCATATATAGGCTTTTAAACATCTTGCATTTACAATTTTCCATTTAATAATTACTTTGACATAAGCGTTTGTTAGTGTAGCACAAAAAGTGCGTGCCTATGTTAACAATGGTCTGTAAGGTAATAAGGGCAACATTTTTGTAAATTATTTTCTTCTTCTTCATATTTTTACAGCACTTTATAATACAAATAAAAATGTAGGCAAAATCTTTTGACGCAGTATTCTATCCAAATTTGCATGACAGGCAGCGCATAACGAATTAACCAAAAACCGATAATATATGTCATTTTACTGGATTTTGAGTTTTGGATCCTATGTTTTTTAAATAAAATCGAAACTTTTTCACAACTAAAGTGGTGGAACAACATGCGCTTGTGTGTTCATAATAAATCTCTTCATCTTCTACTATCGTTGTGCGATAGGTTATGAATTCATTTTATAGGCCAAACTGTTAACAAGGAAATTCTGGGCAGGTTGCTTCAAACTCAAAAACGATCTGAAGATATGGTTTTGTCTAGTGAGAAAAATGATTATTTGGTGCAACTAATACGCGTCGTCGCCAACACTTTCGTGTATTGTCGGTATATTTGCTGTATATCATGCACTTTAGATTCAGAAATATTATCTAACTCATACACCAACTTGGATTTCATCATTACAGAAATATTTATCGATTAATCAGTCAATAATCAGTCAATAATCTGCAAGAGCAAAACATAACTGACGTGTCTACTAAAAAGTTTGTGTGATTGTTATGAAATCCAAAACATCAAATGATGTCTTTTAAAATTTTGTATTATTTTTATAACTTTTTAATTTTAGTCCATAATCGAGAAGTCACTTTGCATGAGATATCTGAGAGCATAAAGATATTAAGAGGTAATGTTCTCCACGTCGCTTACAGTGTCGCTTTATTAAATTACCAACGTTCAAGACCCCGGCAAAATTGCATGAATTGAAGTTCGCGTTGCGTATTGCGATTTGCCTCACCTACCGTATTCTTCAGATGATAATAGTAATATCCAACGGCTATTATCGATTTTGCAAATCTCAAAGACAAAAGATTTGAATCAAAAGATGCAGTCATATCGGAAATTGAAGCTTGTTTTGCGGATCTTAACACAAATTATTCTACCAAAATTGCATCATAATATCAGAGAATCGTTGAATCAAATGTATCAGTTTTCAAAAATATTATGTTGATTAATAAAGTCGAATTTTACAAAAGAAAAAAATATGTATTGTCCTTACCTAGCTTTGGGTGTAGTTAACTGATGAATTATAAGGGTACGTTGGATGCGCAAAGTTACCGCACCCGGACAAAAGTAATTTTGCATAATTTTGAAATGTTATTGTAGCTTGTACGGTGCTATATGCTACATAAGGAGAGTGTATGTGCTATATACGGCCAATAAGTGAAGGAAAACAGAAATTGGAGGTCACAACGGAAAAATCACTTTTAATTGTATGTGTCTATGACACTGCGAACAAATAGTAAGGTGAATTTTTCATACACAAATGAGTATCTCGATTTGTATCATGTCAATGAATCTGATTACCAAGCACTAGATCACGAAACGAAAGATGATACTTGAGTCGATGCGTACGAGGCGGAAACGACCGATCGATCGTGTGAGTATCCCGCAATAGGTGAACCAAGGTCGAGAAAATCAGCTGTTTCGCAGTCAAGGTTATCTTGCGAGCTTACTTCGATTATCGCGGTAGTGTGCAATCGTGAATTTCGTCTACCAGACCAAACTGTGGCTATGAAGAAGCTGAAATTGAATTTGGAAAAATAAATACATATTTTTGATTGTAAAAACAAATCCACCTTATTTTTTGATCACATATGTATATATATATATATATGTACATATAAGTGTACATATATACTTCGTATCAAGAGTGAACGTAACCATCGATTATTTCAATGGTTTGATAACATTTTCATATTATGGACACTTTTGTATGCTTCTGATGTTTATTATATATTAGGTGCTTGCAAAAACGTTGACCATATTTTCACTTGAAAAAGGCGTTTATTGAGAAAAACTGATGCTATGTATATTAATTTTCGATAATTTTCTACCGCTGTTTGGATTGGTAGCAATCCAATCATCGATCCATTTTCGAACTTTTCACGCCCTTCAAATTCACGTGCTAGTTAAGCCTTGTTGCATTGATCTGAACAAGAAATAATCAGAATTCGCCATGTCTGCATCCTTGACAACTGTTGCAACGTGTGGCCGAGCGCTGTCACACAAGAAGATGACTTTGAGTCGATTAACCACTATTGTTGGTCTTATTTGTAGCAATACATCGTTCAATTTGTTTTATTTCATCATTAGATATTTGCAGTAACTGCTCTATTCGGTTTTAGGAGCTCTTAACATACTATTTTACTGATCCCATCGTATTCGCAGCAGAGCTTCATGGCCATAAATATTTCGCTTCGTTGTGGATGGCGTTCCTGCATCAACCCATGACTTTTTTAGCTTCGGATTGACGTAATATCTACTTATCTACTTATCATAACCATTCACAATTCGCCTTATAACACTTTTCTTTTTTTACCTGGCAAGCAATGAAACCGCGATGGTGAAACGGCCCGAAATGGCATTTTCAGTTAATTTATATGGTAGCCATTTTTCCCCCTTTCGGATATTTCCCGTCGCAATGCAAACGTCTAAAAACAGTTAATTGCTAAGTTGTTCGAAAATTCTTTGACAGTTTTAGCTGGATTTTTGTCCAATAAGTCTTGCAATTCATTTTTTTCGAGCTTAGTGGATCCTCCAGAATGTTTTTTGTTATAGACAACAAAATCACCACTTTTAAATCATTGAAACCGAAATTGACAATTGATATATGATGGAGCAGCATCGCCATAAACGTCGCCTGAACGTGTTTGGTAAGCTTCTTTTACTAAATTGGAAATTATTATTTTATGTTGAGAAATGTCAAAATCCTCAAATTTACACTAATATTTCCCGTTTCTTTATCGTCTTTACTTTTAGAATTCGATTGCCAAAATTTTTGCAAACACCTAATATGTTTAAAATATATTTTCCATTCTTCACGATTGCTCCTTTAGTGTCGAACGGCTGTCGTTGTTGAGCTGGAATGCGGAACTTAGCAGAAAATATTTGAAATTTCCTTTTCTTATCGAAAAGCTTAATAGCTTGGCTAAGCTTGTCAGAGACACTAATCACGACCTAATAAAGTGATGATGTTTATTTAAAGGAAGCTATTATTCGATTGCCTACGTAAATGCGTGCAAAATTTCTACCTACATAAAGACAGATCTTATTTTCTAGTTTAAAACAGATAAACTAAACACATTTATCGTTTTTTTTTTCTTTTGATTGATCCAACTAGGAAATATACAAATGAACACGAAGACAGCTAAATGGGCTTTAGAATTTTAGAAAAGTATTTTCAAAAGAGAGATCATCAAAGAAAAAAAAGAAAAAAACTGACTGGAAATCCCAATTTTGTCTAAACCCACCAAACTGACTATAAGTCAGCTTCGGTTCCGTCCCATTTCTGCCCTTCCAGTTGTCACTTGTCGCAGTCTAGTAAACTAAATAAAATTTGTTACGTAAGCTTAAGTCGACAGATGCAGCTTGAGTAACTGCAAATTCGATTCTTAGTTTGAGGCAACCGATCGCCTTTGAGCTTGATATTGTGTGCTATACATGCGCAAGCAAACTTACGGTTATTAAGGATTCGTCTTAACGCGAACGTAAATTTCTTATGGTGCAATTTACTCATAGAAATTGAATTAATTTTTAATATGCGTTTATATTTTTTAAACCTCTCTTTTGGCTTTGTTTTCATCATCACAGATTCTCACATCTATATATATATATATATATATATATATGTAACAGAAAGTTTGGTGCTGAGTTTATAGCAATTGCCAAGGTTCAAAAATATATATATATATATATATATGTATATATATATAAATATAAGTGTATATATATATAAATATAAATATATATACATATATATATATATATATATATATATTTATATAGCTCGCTTATCTTCCATGCCAGACATAAAAAGTCAGTTATCTGTAAGTGACAGATTCACTCAATTTTGTGCAACCATGAATTTGTTCTGCCACGTAAGTAAGCTAAAGCCTGAATGAAAGGTCAACAGTAACACCGAAACGAAAAGCGCCTTAAGAAATCTCCGTTCAACTAAGAAAATATAAACAAGGATTTCATTGATGACATGCTTTGCCATTCTTCTATTGACAGCACTGCGCACATATATATGCATATGTATATATATATATATATATATATATATAAACCCTGGTCACATACACTGAGTGCTGTCAATATATATATACGCATATATATATATACATATATGCATATATATATATACATATATCTATGCATATACATATATATATGCATATATATATATATACATATAAATATATATGCATATATTTATATAAAGCAAAACGAATAAAATCCTTAGGCCGATTAAAGCGTACAATGCGAACGAAGACACAGCGATATTTTTGTACGGTAAACAGATTCAAAGCTTAGATCTTTTGGCTGGTGAAAGATTACAAACCAAAAAATACAACGAAATAACAACAATTGCAAAGTATCGTACTTTTTTGTATAGAGAAAACAGGAGACATAAAATAGAAAGCGATTTCCGTTTGTCATTCACTAGAATGTTATGAATTGAAACAATTCATTCATACGCCTTCGAACATGAAGGAGGTAAAAACCCATACCAACTAACAACACAACAAACTACAGAAAATTCTTGGCAAACAAAAGAAATTTTTGTGAATGAAAATCAAACGTTGAACTCTCGAATGTCTTTCATCCTTTGGGAGTTAAGATACGAGCAGAAAATGACAAGAAGAAAAATAAAAAATAAAAAAACCAGTGTCAACGTCAAGACAAGTCACACAAAACGCACTACATGACCACCAAACACCAGCTATATTGGAGATGAACGTTTGTTTTCTCTTTTGTTTTTTGGATAACTCTTAACAATATAGCCAATTGATCTCTGTGATGCCTCCCCACTAAGAAACGTAAAATGTATTGGACAAAAAAAAAAAAAAAATCCAATCCAAAAATAATTCGTGGAATTATCTCTACCACACAAAAACTTAAACGTTGACACTTTTTATTCGTTCTTGTTCTTATTCGAAACAAAAAGTAAATCAACAAAAACAACAACCTTTCTTCTAGAGCAAGAGAATCGAAGCAAATTAATTCACACCTTGTTTCTTACGGGTCTTCAAGAAAGGACTTAGTAAAAAGCCAACAATAACAACCGCAGCAACGAAAGACAGAAGTGTTATCGGAATTATATTCACACAAATCAGCCGCACACGTACCTCTGTACACATAAACAGATCAATAAAATAAAAAAGAGAAAAAAAAAAACAGAAAAAATAAATAAATAAATAAGAGAAACCCAAAAAATATTATGCAAATTGTTTCAACAAAATTGTTACCACTACTGTTGTTCTCTTGTTGCCATTGTTGTTATTGTTGTTATTGTTGTTATACCTGTTGTCACTTTGTTTGTCATACATTTTGTTCTGTAGTAGTAGTCAATTTTTAAAAAAATTTTTTGATTAAGAAAACAAAAACCGGAACGAATGAAAAATGTCTATTATTGAATAAGTAACTTAGAATGGCGGGAAACAATCCATAATCTGTTCTTATGCCCTTCCTCCAAGTCCGCGTTGAAACGGAGATATCGGATCAAGACGCTGCATCACGTTATAAGAAATATCTTCAAAGTTCCCTAACTTCTAACCGCATCCCGATTCTCTTCCAATGTCATTCTAAAAAGGTTTATATGATTCGTTCTAACTTAGCCTAATTCATCTACTATTTCGTTTTTTTTCTTACTTTCTTTCTTACGTTGTTTCTTACCTTTCTTGAAGCCATCAATTTTGTGTTGAATGAACAGTTAATGGATAATTATGTATACAGCAACAATACTAAATATAATA